ACACTCCGATAGTCGGAATTCCGAGCGACTGTCGGGATTGTTTGGTCGCAATCCGACCGAATTGATATTTTGAATTTTCGACAGTCGAAATTTCGACCGACCTTCCAAATTGTTTGGTCGGAATGCGAATGTCGGAATCCTCACCAAAATTGTCGGACTCTAACGACCGATCTTCGGTCAGATGCCATCATTATGATATAATATGATTGAAATCTATCGTTCGAATGAATTTTATCGTATGGGAGTAATTTATTCTCATTTCCATTTTTCGCTTAATTTGACCACAGGGCACTATAGAAAAGAACATTCTATGAAAAGCGTTAATAATTTTTTTGCAATTTTTAGTCATCTCTAAATTTGTATAATTACAATTTTTCGGTCAAATTCATTGCATCTTTAGAGACTAGCTATCGAGAAGTATACATATCATTTGATGAATGCATTACGATGCAATAAAAATAACGGTGAGGGTCATGCTTCTACGTCAACAACAACGAATCTGTTCAATTTCGATAGCGTAAATGATTTAATTGGTTCGTGTTCTTGTTTATTCATTTGTTTTTCATTTATTTGTGTATTCATTTTTTACGTACTTCTACAATTTTACTCATTTAATTGGATTTTCATCTCCATTCAGCAGTTCATTATGATCGCATTTATTAGTAAAATCGTCTTTATGAAGATACTTTTATGTTATGTTCATTATTCCGTGCGATTTTAAGTTGATTTAGCAAATGTTTGACGATTCTCTGACATATTTTATGAGTGTTTATTCATCGAAATGAAATTTTGAAGAGATGGGCGATATGGATGAGAAGTTTTTGTTATTTGTTGCGTTGTTGGCCGAACGAATGGGTTTTTATAAGCATTCATTTAAATATATTCAACTGTATTGTAAATGCGGCAATAATGGCGATACACTGAACAATATTCATTATCAACGTATTGCTATTCGATCGTGAGTCGATTTTTCATTAACCGATTTTTTTTGAAAACTTCAAAGTTTCGATAACAAATTTTGTTTGGTGATTTGTATCTCTCAGATTGTTACCTCAATTGTTTGGAATATTGATGTGAGTTTGGATTGAGCGAATGGAATTTGATCGGTGTTTCAAGTGAATTTCCTCGGTTTTAGCTGATCGCTTTCTGTTTTTGGTCATTCAGTGAGAAATGATTTCATTTAGAAGGTTTCTTTTTAAGGAAATCGGCAGAAATTAACAACTGTGTGGAACAGTTGAAAGCATTTGTTAAGTTATGTGCACTCGAAAAGACGCAGCTTTATGGTGAGTATTCAAATGGATTCAGTCTTGGTTTCCTTTTCGTTTTTTTGGTGAAAAAAATGTTTCATGGCAGAACTTTACACTTCGGTAGGTACACTCGATGCTGGGATCTTAGGATCAATGAATGCGTTCAGCTGGGACGTTTTCGCGTGGTCGTACTAGTAATATTTGATAAGAATATCTCAATAATAAAACATGATAGCAATAATAACCAAAACTTGATGAGAAGGTAGTGAATGAGTGAATCGTTGCAGACGAATTGGTGAGGTACTCGAAATTATATTCGGAATTGTTCGATATTCTCAACGAGAATGCACTTGAACGAATGCGTGCATTCCTGGCACAGAACGATAGTCGACTGTCGACAGTTTTGATCGTTTCGATGTTGATTTGCTTCGAAAAGGTTTGTTTTCAAGTGAGTGCCACTTTTGGAAAGTATTATATATATGATTT